ATTGTTTCTTGATGGGTTTCTTGTGGGTATAAATGCAGGAATGTAATTGCTGAATCATAGGGTATATGAATATTAAATTATGGGAAATAATATCAGGCTATTTTCCAAAGTGATCACATTAGTTTATACTCCTATCAGTAATGTGCAATGGCCCTGGGAATCCTCTTCAGCATTTCATATTTCTCAGAATTTTAAATATTTGCTTGTGGAATGTTGTTGTATTGTGGTCTTGACTTGCATTTCCATGATCACTAATGATATGGTCACATCTGCCTATGATATCATTGTTTATGTCCATGAAATGTCTAGTCATATCTTTGGCTCACTTTTCAGTTGGGTTGTCTGTGCTATTATTGATTATAGAAATTCTTTGGGTATTGTTGATAACTGCTTTATTGGATGGATGGATGGTGAATAGGAGCTTCCAGATTATAACTTGTCTTTTCATTTTTAAAGATACATTTTGATAAACAAAAGCTGCTAATTTTAATGTAGTAAAATTATCATTTTTTCCCACTTTAGTGCTTTTTGTATCAAAAGAAAATTTTCCTTTCTCAAAGTCTAAAATAATAGTTCTCATAATCTGGTCTGTGAAACCAGATTCCCTTTCAGGGTGGGAGACCATTAGGTCAGCCCATTTTCAAAAGACTGCTGTGTTATTTGCCTTTTTCATTCACTGTGCTGACATTTGTATTAATGTGCAAGAGCCATGGTGTGTAAAACAAATTTTGTGGGGATACTTCAGCACAAATCAAGGCCATGTACGTAACTGCCCTATAGTCACTGTATACCTTCCTGCCTTGCGATCTTAATATAAAAAAAGAATACAAAAAGTCAAGTTCCCTTTAGAATGTCCTGGATGAAGTAATTAATACACATGTTAATTTGATTAAATCTTACCCTTTAACCATGTGTCTTTTAAGTGACACAGAAAGAACTATTCATAGAGCATTTTGCCACATATGATGGTTGCCTAGAGTAGTAACACTTGCGTGATTGAGTCTCAAGATGAATGAGATGCTCTTTTCATGGAACACCATTTCTACTTGAAAGAATGATACACAAACTACAGTAATTCAGACTTGGGGATTTGCCAGACTTTTTCTAAAAAATGAGTGACTGAGCCTTCATCAAGGGAAATAAATAATGATAATTCCCAGTATTTAGACTGAGATCAGTGCCTATAATTGTTTTGATTCTATATAAGGAAAAGTACTTATATTTCAAAGTTCTGCATGAATGACCTCTCCAAATGACCAGTGATTACATGATGTTGTGAAATCTAGCACTGATAAAAGATTTTCTCAAAGACCCAGTTAGACTAAATGATTTTAATGTAACAAAAATATTCACTGACAAGGGTTTAGATTCTGCTTTTCAACCAACCTTAAAGAAACTACCCCTTGTTGAGTTTTGGTGTGATACCAAAGAAGAAAATCACAAACATCATTAAAATACTCTTTCCTTTTTCTATTATATATCTTTGTGAAACTAGATTTTTTCCACATATATTAAAGCTACATTGAACCTGATCAAATGCAGAAGTGGAGAGAAGCTTAGGCCAGATATTAAAGAGATATGCAAAGATGTATAATAATGCTACTTTTCTAACTAAAGGTTTTTTTGTAAAACATAGTTATTTTTCTTAAAAATGCATTCTTCATGTTAACATTTGATGCTGTTTTTAAAATGAATGAAAATATTTTATAAATTAGAAAATTTTAATTTCCACTATAGTAAACATTGCTAGATAAAAATTACACAGAAAAGCTCTTTAGGCTTCTCAGTAGTGTGAAAGGGATCTTGAGACTAAAAGTTTGAGAATTTCTGGCTAACATATATCTTGCCAAATTTTCTAATAAGGTTTTTTTTTTTGTGGGGTTAGTTTGCTTATTTTAAGATGTCAGTCATTAATCTATACATGTACTGGACAGTATTGGACTGTTTATAAATACCAAAATACATTAGACCTTTATAAAGAGTAATTAAATTTAAAAGATATGTAAAACTTCCCAGTCTATTGTAATTCCTACAGATCAGATATATTTTATTTCATTTTTTCTTGTTTTCTTTTTTTTGTAAAGTTGTCTGTTTATTTCATCCATCTACCAGACATGTGAATTAAGCAAATAATAACCCTTGTGTCTTTCTGCCTCCTCTTTCTGTAGAAGACCACAATCTGGGGGGGCTCACTGCCCTGACCCAGATCTCTAGGCTCTCTCACTGTCAGATGCACTATTCTGTCCAGGAAAGACTGGCTTACTTGTTTACAGTGTAGGTCACTTAACGGTAGTTGGTCCTCAGCAGACATCTGGTGATAAGAGTCAGTACTTGTTTACTAGTATGATGCCCAGTTTTCCATTGGAAAAGTAGGAGGTTAACTGAGAGAAGTATTCATTCCTCCTTATTTTGTGATTTCTTACTCGGCCCTGTGAGATTCTAACTCAAGAAATACCCTGTGGGGTTTTACCCTTGCCAATACCACCTCTTACTATGTTATTAGTAAGGATGGGAGAGGGAATTCCATTTTTATTGAGTAGTTGTTATGTACAGGTACTAGCAATGTCTCAGTTGTGTATTTGTAGCTCATTGGGGTTATAGTTTTATCATGATATTTTATTAGTGATAGAATAGAAGAGGATCAAAAATAAAAAAGCTAAAAGCAAAACAAAGCAACTGTAGCTCAAGGTCACAGTAGATTGAAATTCAGTTATTTATTTGAAAAAGGTCTTCTTTTTCCACCATGTAAGATTGCCTCTATAAAAATCTGAGTCCCAATAATATTGACTATTTTATACAATGTGATTATTGCCACTGTTGTGTAAACAGTTAAGGGCCAGAGCAGTTCTGTATATATACTCTTTCATCTCCAATTTGTATTTATTTAAAATTCACAATTGTTATTGGACACCTTCATCTCCTTAGGTCAGAAACAAAGCGAGTAGGGGAAAGGGCACTAAATTTAAAGCCAGATTAGTTTTTCCATTAAGTCGCATCTTTGGCTTTTATTAGCTGTGTTATCTTGTTTTAGTCACTGAACCTCTCTGGACCCCAGTTTCCTAATTGGTAAAACAGAGCCAATGATGTAATTTGGCTGCTGGAAACACCAAATTTTGATGTCTGTGCAAAGGTCTTAAAAGCAGAGGACTATACCTATGCAATTGCAGTACTCAGAATTGTTAATGAGAAGTCCTGGATCTCATTATCACATACAAATTATGGAAAATATCTTTAGCAGTTTTCTCCTCATCACCTGATTTCGGAGGCTGCCATTTTGAGGCTCTTTTATTAGCTTCAGTCATAGAAAATTGCTGATATTTGCCTATTTTTTAACTTTCAAAACCAATTTCATCTGGTCAGTGCTAATGCAATTAATAGTAAAAATTACACATGAATGATTTAAAAAATCTATGTATTGTACTAAAGGGCATATGGCAAAAAGTAAGTAAATCTAGATGGTGGGCTTGATAATATGGGTGAATGTAGTAACCACAATGTTGCTCATGTGAAACCTTTGTAAGATTGTATATCAATGATACCTTAATAAAAAAAATTCACTCAAAAAAAAGAACCTAGATGGTGGTTATGTTTCCCAAACAGACTTTTACTGTGGATTTTCTTTCTCAAGCTATGTTGATTACACATGTTAATCCTTAGCAGCCAGTGAAATGTTTTGTGTTGAAGGAGTACAAAGGTGAGGAAGCACTGTCGGACTAACGAGTGGGGCGGACCTGGGGAGTTGGCTGGAACAGAAAGAGGATCTGGAAATGCTGGTCTAATCATTTTAATTGTGTTAGGTGTTGAAATATATTTATATCTAAATGTCTATATGTCCAGTGTCTGTATAAATCGATATGCTTTCTCCTGTGAATGCTTTCTTTAAGTGAGGAGAACTGGCAAGAAAGTTGGTATGTGTAAAAATGAACTAGAGAGAAGACAAGAGGTTGGACTTTCTTCATTTAGAAAGTCATTTGTTAGGCAGAGTCACAGCTTTCTAAAAATAATAAATTTAGTGATTTTCAAAATTTCCCGGTGGCAGAATGGGGAGGTACTCAAATTTACTGTGTACCCCTGCCTTCCTTCAGTTTCAGTGTTCCTACAATTTCTCCAGAAAGTGGGACTCTAAGAGAATAAAGTTTCTTTTTGTCTGGGAAGTAAACTGGAGTAGCTTCTAAGCACAAATTCAATTTTAAAATTATCTGTTAAGCTAGATTTTATGGAATTACTATACAATTTCTAGAAAAACAGTGGAATGTGTTCTACAAGTTACGTTCTTTGTCCTGGTAGTCTGCAAAGTAAGACTAAAAACGCTATGAATGTTGTATATGTAAATATTTGTGAAATCGCAGAAGAAGAAATCAGAAGTTAAAGATCAAGCACATGAAAATCAAAACTTAAGGCATTAATAAAACTGAAAATAACAACTATAGGCTCATTTAATTTCTGTTTTTTTTTTTTCCTTTGAAAATCAATTGTGACTCACCATTAAACCCATACCAGTGGCCCAGAGGTTCAGAGGAGACTGGGTTGTGGCCTTTTATACTCTTAAACCAAACCTATTTTTCTTCTTTCTCTCTCCAGCTGTTTAGTTCTGTACTGAACTCCTTTAGTGCTGAGGATTACATCATAACCCAGCTGTTTTGGTACTCTTTACCATAACAAAACTGATCTTAACTTTCTATTCACATACACACAATGGTCTTAATATCAGAAGCAGTAAGCTTACAAATGTTTAAAATACAAATTTCCTAAAGGCTAATCCATGAGCCCACAGTAAAAACCCTGCCTTAGGTAATTAAAAGGAACATTTACAGGAAAAAGTTGGACTTGGTTTCGTTTTTGAACTTGGAGAAGTCCAGTCTCACCTGGAAGTCTGTCACTTGACTTTCCATCATTAAAACAAAGAATTTAGGATGTCAAGAGCATGAACAGCCATTTTACATTGGAGTCACAAATATTCTTTAAATATATTCTGCATTGAATGAACTTCTCTTACTCACCAAGTTTTTCCAGTCTTTTATGGTCTCTGTAGGCAAGATTGGATCTGCAGCTGAGTGTAACGTCTGCTGTTGAGGGAAGTAGACTTCGTGTTCTGCCTGGGCTGCTCCGTGTTGACCGGTGGGAAATGCTGCGTTAGCTCTCAAACCAAAACATTTAAAGTACTCTATGAAATGTTGACATCTCGCCAAATGCTTGAATGTCAAGAACTACAGATGTCTAGTCCTCTTTGGAACCCGCTCTACTGTGTGCTTGTATAAGTTGGATCTTATTTGTGCTAGGGTTACAAATAACCAACACTTGACCCAAAGAGTAACTGGTATGAAACGGGGTACAGAGAGAGAGGAGAGTGCAGTGGAGCAAGTGAGAGCTCCAGTCAGCAGAAGGCTGGATCTTTCCCATGCCTAGCTGTGACCTCTTCCTGTGAAGCTGTTGTAAGAATAGCTTCTGTATTTGTTGGGAAGCATTTTCAAGCTGTAATTCACATGGCTTCAACCACCTCCTTGAAACTTGTTGGAAAACTGAAAAATATTTGAAAGTAATAAAATATACTAGAACATTTCCCTCTTTCAGGAGCCAGGGGAGACATGGGAAGAATGTGCTAGTAGGTGTTCGCCTGGGAGTCTCCATCATTGAAGGACAAGATAGCCATTAAATGAGAAGAGAGGTTGAAAGGACCCCAAGGTTGTCTCCTTTGGACTTGGGCGACTTAACCTCTCTACCCTTACTCTGCGCTAGGAGATGGACTTGGTGCCTGACAATGCCTGGCCTACTCTAGCTGTCATCCTGACACCTTGCTAGCTTTGAGCTGGTGCTGTTGTATCTCTTTCTTCAGGTCACCCCCTCCTCTTAAATCTGGTTTTGGAGCATGCTGTTCAACCCCAATTTCTGGATTACTTCCTTATTTGGCAAATTGTTGCTGGGATTCTTTTTTCTTACACAGTGTTCTGGATTGATGCAATCACAGCACATCTCTCAGGAGGACGGGCCTGATCCTCCTGCACTCTGTCTACTTTGAACTCACCAGTTTTTGGACCCATATCCTCAACTCCACTAATTTTACCAGTTTCTTTTAGAGTGGGATGCTCATTACTCAGTCACACTTATTATCGTCATCAAACAAAATGAAACAAAACCCGTCAAAACTCTACATTGATCTTTGGTGTCCTTTATTGGGTACTACTGTCCACTGTTCACTTAAGCTGTACACCATTAAACTTCTTCATTGTCTCATCTGCTCACCAAAGCCTGATTTTTTTTGTTTTAAACACCTAACTATTTCTTGTTTATGAGTCCCACCAAGCTGTGTTCTCTGCTTTGAGTCTGCTCCCCTCCACAGGGTTGCCCTCCCAACACCATGAGAGGGACTCCCCCAGAAACACGAGCATAGCCACGTCATTTTTGTGGGTCCCTCTCACTCACCAGCTACTTGGTGATGTTGAATCTTGCAGACCTCATGCTCTGCAGTTTGAAACTCCTCATCTGCCACTGCCTGTATGATCTTCATGTTAGAGCACTTGGCTTGCTGGCCTCCCTGCAGGAGGGAATGGTTCGTGCCTCCTTGCTTGGCTGAGCCCTTTCCCTCTGCCTGGACTGTCTCTCTCCTCCTTTTTACCTAGTTCATCCTGAATTTGAACTGTTTCTGACATGTCAGCCATTCATATACTCGTTTCTCAATTTTCATTATATCCATATAGCATCTGCTCTATTTATATCCGATTTTTGTTTATGTGGAGTCACCTTAAAAATGAAATGTTTATCTTCATCGTTAGCAAAAATATCTTTGAAGTCATAGATTTCATGTGTTTATGTTTAAAAATGCACTGAAATAATTATCTAACTGTTTAGCAAGTTTGTCTGAGCTTGATTTATTCTGAGTATTTTGTCACTGCTGTGGAAACAATGCTTTCAGATGCTGTTCGGCCCACCCTTCCTCTGGGAAGCTGTTCCTGATCCCTACATGCTGGGCAAACTGACCCTCCTGTCTGTTAGCCAAAAATGCTATTGATCCTTCCATCTACTCATTCTTATATCCACCTAATCGGCCAGCTAATACTGATCAGTCACCTTCTGTATACAGGGTGCAGTGGGAGCCCTGGGGTGTGAACAGGAGTGCTTGCCAGGAGCTCTTTGCTTGTCTTCCCTTTGCTTCTCCTGGCTGGAGAGGGAGCTGTTGAAGGGAGGGGCAATATTTTGTCAGTTTTGTATCTTCAGCACCTATCACTTTTACTCTTGGACTTTAAAGAATACAAATGTAAAGATACGTTGACTTCTTAATTTTCTCTTTCTTCCAAGTTTTACTGAAAATGCTTGCGTATTTCATAAATGAGACTTCTAAACACTGATAAAGGCCAGAGTAAAAGTTAATATGCTTAGTTTTATTTTTGAAGGCTTATGATTTGTGATATTAAAATAAACTTTTTTATAAATATCCAGTTTGATATTCAAAGATAGGTTTGTTTGTAGTCCAGTAACTGCTAGTATTTGCTCAGATGCACAGAAACCTTGAATCAAATGTGTATATTTTAACCCAAACCAATACTTGGAGCTCTGTGGATCACAGCTGGTTCCATTTATGATTACAATTTTGAAAGGAGCAAGTACTATGTAAGAATGCCTAAGGGGGGAAAAATTGTTTTTAAAAGAACTCATCCATTTGTAACGGTATTCCATTTTGTAAATTGAAGGAAGAATTGAAAGTACCTGAAACTCAAATCCCTAAGTCTTATGAGGTTAGAGCTCCTGGGGAGTTTATAAGGAAAAAATATTGACAGCATCCACTCGCAAAAAGCTATGGACTTGGGGAAACCTGGGGGCATGACAGGAATTGTGAATAATGAGATAAAATATCAGTGCCTGGGGTTAAGAGTCTGTGCTAAGCAAAATAGGCTATTTTAAATATGGGAGGCATATTCCTGTATGCTAGTTAGCTTAAGAAGCACAGTTATATTTAAGTTGATCATGTCTGTGCCTTTGCATTCTGTCAGAAACTATTGTGCTAACTGTCCCAGGAGTCTCCCACTCCTCTCACACTCTCCACGTGGGCAACACCACCATGAGGTGTGCATTTTGATGTGGCTTAGACCATGTCCCATTTCCAAATACACCATGTATTCTCTCACCTCTTGCCTTTGTTAGGCTGGCTCCGCAGCCTGGAGTGGGCCCTCTCTTCCATGTCTTACCTATTGAACTTTGGTGCATCCCTTAGATTTCAGCTGACACTCCACTGTTTATAGAGCTATTTCTTAGCCTCCCACTAGAAATGAATGAATGGTTATCCCTCTCTGATTCCTATAATGCTTACTTTGAATTTTGATTAAGCCACTCCTCAGACATGGTGCTGAATCGAAGGTGGTCATGGCTGTCTCTCTGGTTTGGGGAAAGGTGAGTCTTTTGTTGATGCTCCCAAGCTTGTTACTCATGCTGTCACCTGTCAGCCAGAAGGACAGGTGACTTTTCTGCAGCCTCTGTCACCCCATATTGTTGCCAGCCTGTCTAGGCTGGCTTCCGGGGCTGGCACATTGCCCATTTGCTTAGCAATCCATCGGCAGCCTGCCTCCTGAGACTCCAACTCAATGAAAATGGGAGATCTTTCAGATGTAAGAGGTGATACTTATTCAATGAAGATCACCCCACTATTTTAACTTCTTTTTTTCCTAGTTCAAGCAATTTAGACATTCTTTTTATTTTGATTTCCTTTTCTTGGTAATTCAAATTAACATTTTTATCAGTTATACATTTATGTACTTAAGAAATTAAGTAATATTATAAAACTTATAATGGCAAATAGTAGTCCCTGTTCTTTTCTTATGCCCCAATGGCCACCTCTTGCACATTTTATCTCATTTTTAGCTATCAACCCCAATGTTTCTACATAAATGGCAGTTCTCAGCTTTTAATAATGTCTGTTGACTTCTTTGGAAGATGAAGATTGAGTTCCTTTACCCTTCATACTTCACTTGGTTAATTTTGTCTATAATTTTTGGAAATAGCAGTATCCCATACTCATTTAATTAAAGCTATTTAAATGTTATGTATAGCTGAGGCTCATCACTTGCATTGAAAGGGATTGCAATTCCCCAGCCTCTTTTAGTGACCAAGAGAAACCAGACCCTCTTGGTCAAATGAAGGCAGGCTTCCCTCTGTGTCCAGGCTGCCCATTTCCCTGGGTACAGTTAATTAAAGGATATGTAAACATGCTATGTAAATGTTAGCTCTTATCACTTATAATTTGAGCCATATTTGAGTGTTATATATTATATATTATATATTATATATTATATATTATATATTATATATTATATATATATATATATATATAATAACACTTATAATTTGAGCCAAACCTCTTTTAGTCCAGTTCCTAACTGTATGTGTATGAATAAGCTTAGAAGTATTTTTGCCAACAGCTGTGTTTGGAGAAATATGTAAAATCTAGGTGCGTATTTATGTATACAACTTTTGCTGGATAGATACTTTGTAGTATTAGAGTTCAACAGATGGAGGAAATGTGTGTTGACAAATCCTAGTTAGTAATAATTTTCTTTTATATTTCACTGTAGAGGCTATCTAACTTTCCAGTTTTAGGCATTTAGCTTTTAGCAGCTTATAGTTACTATCTTGGGAAAAAACCCACATGCATTATATATACATACTTCCAAAACTGTGTTTTTTATTCTTGCCTTCCTAGTTAGAACTTACTCTCTTACTTAAAGCCTGAATCAAGTTGTGGTTCCTTGCCTTACTATTCTCTTCAGTAGTTTTCCCAGCAGCCTTACATTATACTCAATAAGCAGGGCCCTTGGTTTTATTCATTTAAAAATACAGACACCCTCTTAGAAGATAAAAGCTTCTGAATCATGAGTAGGCAGGCTGGGAACTGGCTGTGGAGTAGGTGAGACTGTTGGGAGACTGATTTCATGAAAGAAGAGCGACAAAAAGAGCTACCAGACAAATAACTGAGGGGTTATGGAGGAAGACATGTGATTCTCATTTGGTGGTTAAAATCCTGTTTGGAGGAATATGAGTTTATCATACCAATTGGTAACTCTCATGTGTGACACTGTGACTTTAATATCTACCCAAACTTTTGTTTAAAGGGGGAGGGTGTCTAGATAATGAGCATCCAGTAGAGAAAAAGTCCATGGCAGTTAAATGTTGCTCAGCAGAAGAATGTGGGGTGTAAATATCCACCAGGAGAGGCTGAGCATCTGTGCTGTCCTGTGCCTTTCACAGACATCTGTAAGTGATCACGGCCCTTTTCCTGGAGCCTTCCCTAGGGGTCTCTGGCAGCCTCTCAGAGCTGGCCCCTGAGATGAAACT